CGATGCAACGACGACGGCGACGACGATGCAACGACGACGGCGACGACGATGCAACGACGACGATGATGCAACGAAGACGACGATGCAACGACGACGCAACGATAACAACACAATGATAAAAAGATGGTAATCAAAGCACACTAACAAAATTATATCTAATATTTTTTATTGGTTCGAATAGAATGAATTACTAAAAAAAAATTGCTACCCAATGACCTTAGTTTGATCGGTATACGAAATATAGTATGTTTCTTCATTACATTGAGCTAAATATAACGAGTTACTCGCGAGTTTACAGTTGCATTTTGCGTTCTAATGAAATACAACGTTATTTTACAATTTATTATCATCTCCTTTTTAAATATATATATTTCGAGATTAAAATTTTATAAAATATCTATTTATCTATAATAATATATATATATATATCTATAATATATTTTATAAATAATTCATTTAGAAGTTTTCAAAAGATTGTCATATTGTTACGTATTGTTAATTATTATTCTATTATTCATGTTGCTTCTATTATATTCGAATATATGATTCCTATTATCTGATTTTATTTTTTTCTCTATCCTAATTTGTCAAATACGTATATAAATAAAATTAGAAATTTTACGATTACAAATTTTTACTTCTTGAATTTGTCTTTTTTGCATTTTTTGGAATTCTATATTATAAGAATTTGACTTTGCATAATTTTAAATTTACATACGCGATGCCCGATATATTTTACATCGAATATATTGAATAAAAATATTAAAAAAGATATAAATATGTTTTAATGTCTCTATTTTATTAAATACAATACTCTTCAGTTGTGATTTATTATTTTATATCGTATTCTAATTGCGAGCATTATTAATTCTAAAATAAAATATAAAAAAGAAAGCTTGAAAACAATAAATAGAAAATCATTATCTGACTAAAATTCAAAATTCAATACTAGTATTGAATTTTCATATAGTTGTTATACTGTAAGATTATTTAACACAAATGGATAAAAATTTAAATTTTTTATTTTTAAACAAAATTAAATTAGTTTTCAAAATTAACAAATTAAATTTCAAATAATAATTTCTTTATCTTAATAATTATCTAATATTAACATCACATATTCCATTAATCTCATTTCTTTACAATTATATGTATACATATTTTCCTTTTGTAAATGATAAAGAATTATTTTTCCAATTCTGAATATGTTAAATTTATCTCTATAACAATTCAAATTTATTTTTAGCTAAATTGAGTTTATACAAACGTTTAATAAAAATCCTATTGATATATACATATATACATACACGTGTTCGCAATCTATCAATAGAGATCGTCCTATCTCACATGTCAAATTTTAATAGACATTTTAGAAAAAATCAAATTTGTGAAATATCATAATTGTTTATGTAACTACATAACACGAAATCGTCTCGAAATAATTATATTTAATATTTCTTCCTTTTTTAAATAATTGTTTTCGATTATCTAATGTTTAATTTGTTCAAATTGGTTCAACAATTTATGTTTTCTTTATTAAAAAAAAAAACTATAAAATAGATAAACTTTTATAAAACACTCATGAAACAAAAATTTCAAAATTAACAATTAAAAATGATCTATTTGATTTATTATTTATTATCTAATTGAAGATAAATTTGCATGTTACTTTTCCCAAGCATAATATAATGATCGAATGAACGTAAGCATAAGAATATATGAATAAATAAAAACAAAATGACAAACAAACAAAGGGAAAAAGAAAAGAGGGAGGGAAGCAGGAAGGGGAACAGAAATAGAGAAAAAAGAAGAGAAGGAAAAAGGAGGAACGGCAGGACGAACGCCATTTCGCAACAGGAATCATTTAATGTACTAATTCTACGCATGACGATAAATAATTAATCATTAATAATTTCGAAATCAATTATTTACTTTCGGCTTTGATAAAACATTAACATTGGTTAGATATTTCGATCGAGACGTTATGTTACGAGATCAGAATTAAAATAAAAATAAGAAAATATAATAGAATGTTATTTTCATTGTTAAATGAAGATTTAATATATACACTTTGAATCAATGATTTATTTTTAATCTTACCTGTTACAAACATATTCGTGTGCTGAATTGAGGATGAATTATCGTTATGTGATATAGTTGATGATGATAAAGAAGAAATTGTGCGACGATAATCTGTATTCCGCGAATTGCGAGATCCGTTCTGTAATTGTTGATCAGTTTGAGAACTAAGTTGATGATGTTTATATCGATGATGATGACGGTGATGGTAATGGTGATGATGATGATGATAATGATGATCATTGCGATAATGACGACGATACCGATGATAATCTTGTTGCTTTTGTGAATGTCCAGGATGTTGATGTTGATCATCCTGATAATATTTATTACGATATTGATGAAGATATTGTTGTGTACCTGTCATTTTTTCGGTACTCTCTTTTTGTTCCAAGTGCATAGCAGTTGGTGGCAACATGATGTTCTTGCAATTATAGCAATTTAAAAATTTCAACAGATGAATTGTAGAAAATATCTCGATCGTAATTTTAATTGGAAATGTAATAATTAGAAATTTCAATGAAGAAATTTATAAAATTTTCTTCAATTGTTGTACATCTTATTTTGTATCGTTGTTATAATTATATTTGCGTTATATATTAATTAAAACAATTAATATATATTTAGTTTTGTTATTAAACTTTTTTTATTTTTCTTGATGAATTATTTCTTGTTGATGTTTTTGTCAAAATTTAAATAATGCAAAAAAATTCTTGCTCCATACTGGATGTATTATAAAAATCAATCATGTTATCGATAATATATTCAATCACCTTAAACATTGTTTTTGTAAATTTTCCCCTTGTTGATCGACATTATTGCATTGTTGATTATCATTATGAAAATGACATCGATGACGTATTTTAACATTTTTAACACAATATAGCTGCATCTAATTTATTAAAAACTATCACTTTCAAACGTTTCTCCGTTTTTCTTCTTATCTCTTCTTTAACGGTCTTAAAAACTTGTTTTTTAATTCGATCACATAAAATAAATAATATAATTTCGATAATAATATGATTATTATCGTTATTTATTTTGTTTAAATTTGTTCGATTGTTCGTTGTAATTAAAATTATTTTCGTTCATAATTTTCATTAAAAATTTTATTGCAGGCAACAGAAAAAAAAGAAAGAGAAACGAAATTGTAAATTTTTTGTTTTGAATTGAAAACACACTTTTAATGTACTTCACTTCCAATATAACGATTGAAAAGCAAATTGGAAACAAAAATATTCTTTGAATTTATCGTATTCAACGTTAGAAACTGACTAAACGCAACTATACAACGTTCACGACGCGACTGGGCCAATCATGTCGGAAGCCGGTATGACAGAGGCATCTGACAACCGACAAATCAAACACGAAAATGAGTGCATGTGCGCGCAGCAAGAAGAAAGAGATTTGCGCGCGCGTATTCACTTCCCGCTTCTTGACCTGTCAGCCATTAGACTCTCTCGGTGTAGCCTCCTCCCAATTGCGTCTTTCCCGCCATATAGACTTCATAAGTATACATCAGAAGCCGTTGGCCGGTGTTCCAGTAACGACAGCGTACGTTAAATCCCTTCCAAACAGGTATATGCTTTATTGGCGGGAAACATATTCCACATATAAAACACGATTATCCTTTGCACATTAAAATGTATAAATGTTCTTATATATTTTATTTTCATATTTTATATTATTTAATATAGTAAAAATATATATTGTTTATATTTTGTTATAATATTTCTTTATATTTTTTCAATGTCAATATTTTGTCTTTATCATTAATATAAATATCATATCATATACGCAAGATATTAATTTAGATTCAATTGTTGTCGTTGCAGTAATCACAAAAAAAATAACAATTATAAGCAAAATAACTTTCGAATCGCATCGAAATATATTTATAACAATTATTACAAAAAATAAATTTTAAAAATATAATAATTATACTAAAAGATAAAATATTGCTATCACGTTGACATTAATGAAACTTTTTTGAGTAATTAATAATTTGATAATTGGTATTTAATAATAATAACATCATTCGTTATAACATTTTGTAAAACTTCAATCCTATAATTAAGATATATTTTATAAATCCTAGTAAAATAATAAATGTTCAATATAAATATAAATGATATAAATATAATTAAAAAGCGTTATCATAAAAAGTTAATAAAAATTTTTAAAGCAACAATATTTAATTTTTTGAGAAACGAATTTTTATTAATGGAAGAAGAAAATATTTTTATTAAAATATATTTATATTATTATATATTTATTAAAACAAATTAAAAATAATTATTTTTAATTTCTCGCAGAAAAATATTAATTTTTTAATTTTTCATAATAAGAGATAAATTATAATTTATTCATTATATTATGTGATATATGTAATAATTATTCGTAAGAGTTTATTATTAAATATGATATGTATGTAATGATTATTATTAAAGAGAAAAGAAAAAAAAAAGAAAAGAAATGAAGACAAAGAGAAAGAAGAAAAGAAAAAAATTTCATATTAATCGTGAATTACGAAAAAGTATGGTATTCGTTCAACATATCACTAAAACGGTAGAGATATGAAACGAGATAATATGAGATAAGGTTACGGGAGATAGAGTATAATCTAAGTATAGAAAAAGCATGAATCGTTTGCACGTGCAGCTATGTAGTTGAAATACAAAATGCGCCACTTCAAGATACAATTTAGTTTTTTCAAGATTATTAATTTATACCGCTATTTATTATTTTTCGATAATAAAAACTATTAAATAAAATATCTCGTATCTATTAAAATTGTTTCCTGTTTTAGAAAATAAATTAATAATAATGTTAATGATAATAATAATAATATAAAATCTTTATATTATAAAGTATTGAATAGATAATTTTTTTTTTAATTTACTTTATATATATATATATATATTTAACATTATATCATTACAAAAAATATGCTTTTAGAAAAGTATAAACAATTAATTATTATGTATTTTTCTTCTTGTATTAATCAAAATCTATAAATTTTTGGAAAAAATTTTTTCCTCCATTTACTTTTTTATGCTTATTTTATGTTATTAATAATGATAGAAAACAAACTAATTTCATTTTGATAAAAAAACCATTCTTGATTTTTATAGTCATTATTCATCCCTGGATGTCTAAGATAACAAAAAATATATTTTTATCTTATCGACTCAACCCTTATATGACCATTTCAATCGATGATATTTCTAACATGATAAAGTTATCATATTCATTGCTTTTTCTTTTTATCAGTCAATCAGTAAGAAATTGATCCCTTCTTGTCATTATCAATATTTTTGTTTTTAAATTACAATTGACTAATATTATACAAAATTTACATAATTAAAGTTGACTTTTTCATTTTTTTTCTCTTAAATTTTTCAATAATCCATATATATATATATATATATATGTGTGAAAATTTTATATATACATGTATGTTTTATACATACACAATTTTATACATGCGCGCGCGCGCACGCACACACGTACGTACGTACGTAATATACGAGTACATTTTCTTTCTATCCAAACTAGATTGCGCAATACTTTTTTTTATCCATAATCATCATAGAAACCGTTTAGTATCTCATCCCTAATTACTTTGCGAGTCTTTGTTAGTTTCTTTAAACGAATGTTGAATCGTGTGTTTCACTATCGAATAAATTTGTACTTCTTGTTAACTATCTACCGTTAATAAAGATCAACTAAACTGAAAAACAAAACTGATTTTTTCTTAATTGTATGAATTTATAATATATATATATAAATAATTTTATAAGTATAAATATAATTTATAGTTATGTATTCATAAATTTTTAGAAATTGTTTTAAAATATTATTGATATAAACCTGAAATGATATTTGAATTAATATAAATATAAAAACCTTTTTATATGATATTGATACGATTGATGATGGATACATATTATAACATAAAATTTTTCATGTAAAATATATATAATTCAAACATATATGGTTCAAGTTCAAAAGAAAAGAAATTGTTTCTCTTAATCTTTATATTTAAGAAAAATAAAAATCAGATTTTAAAAAATATAATTGATTATTATCATATATATTTATATTTATATTCACACGCGTGCGCACATATGAATACACACATATATGTCGGAAAGTTAAAAAAATTTAAAAATTAATCGTTTGTTAAACGAACAACGATCAAATAACAATTTTTCAATATTTTTTGGCTAATTTTCATAAGAAGAAATAGAAAATTTCAAATCGATCTATCATTTGAACAAATATATGTTCATCGAATAAATCTTATGCAGAAATGATACTTTGAGAGTGATATATGACTGATTGTGAAGATCAAATCTTCGACATGCAAAGGAACATCGATTCAAGAAGAGAGACGAACATTCTTCATAGGTCAGCAAGCATAGAACGATTTTAGATACGGCCTTTGGGCTGCTCGTGCTTTGCGTTGTAGCTTGTCTTCGTAACTATTCCGTCCTAATAATTATTTAATGTACTATTCTTAATCAATGTTTCTTTTTTGATAGATTTCAAATTAGAAATGAGGTAAGAAATTATGTTTTAATTATATAAAAATATCATGATTTGATAATAATTTACAAATTTATACAAAATATTTTACAAAAAAAATTACATTTCAATTATAATTTTTATTACTATTTATTTGAACAATAATAAATTTCTCTATGCATTTTTTTGATTTTATCGACAATAATGAAGATTACCAAAATTGATGAAATTTTACTTCAAAATATCTTATTTCACCTATGATAGCCTCTATGCTCTTTGTGGCTTTTGACATGATAACCTCTTTCTTTCTCAAACTCAATACACATAATTCAAAGTAAAGAAGGACTGAAAATTGTGATACTGATAACAGAAAATAAAATAATATTATGAATGACATTCTCTATTAAATAAAAATAAATAAATAAATTAATTAATTAATATATATATTAATATTATATTAATTTACCTTAATGAAAATATAAAATTATATGCAATATAATTCATTCAGAATTAATAATATCTTATATTATTAAAATTTTAAAAAAACGTATATATTTTCATTTTACGTAACATCTAAGTAAAATGCGATATTTTGGTAGATCAGTTTGTTGATTGGCCGGTAAACAGGTATCAAAAACTCTCGGAAGTCATCGAGAGCAACCAAGACACGACGATTAGCGAGAATGACTACATCACTTATCGATTACATAACAAGACAAAGATATTATCACGAAATAACATTATTAATTAAATTTATAAAATATATTTTCTATTTTATTTTTAATGTATTGATTTCATAATTTCCTAGATCTCTTTTACACTTATTTTACATTTCATTGATAATCTAATTACAAAACATATTATGAAAGTGATGAAATAAATAAAATACTATAATAATTAATACAATCTACCATAATCTAGCATAATATATAAATACAATTTATGTAATACGACTCAATAATTATTATATATATTATATAATCAAAGATCAATAATATGAGAACTTTATAAATAGATAATTAAATTCATTAAATTCATAGATAAAAAAAATGTAACAAATTTATGTCAAATTTATTTAACTGAACTATTAAATTTAATCTATTTAAATTAAAATATTTAAATATATTAAGTGATATTTTAAAATTAAATAAGAAAAATAAAGCGCAATAATTGTTTCTTTAAGATTTAGTATTACTTATGTTACCCATACCATATTACTAGTAGTACTATTATTACTATTATTAGACCTGTTACACAATACTCTCGCGTCTTCTCAAACGAGTTTCGCTGGCCAATGACCAAAGCTAGATAACGTTGTGTATCGCGACCCATTTACCGACTTGCTAATCTCGAACTCTAATACGAACTTGATTTTCCTAAACTTTTATCACTTGAAAATTTTTGTTATTTTCTATTATATACCTGAACATTAAAAATGTTACTAATAATTTATATAGTGTGATTATTCATCGATAAACTTTTCAAATATCCAATATCATATTTATCATCATTCATTATATAACAATAATATAATTACAAAAATATTCTTTTCTATCCATCTTTTCATATATGTATAGATTATAGATAATAGATTTTGTTTAATAAATTTTGCATTATTATAATAGTACAAAAGAGCTATACTTTTAATTTCAAAATTCAAATACAAAATTTATACATATATTTCAATTTTAATATTTCTCCTACATATTTTATCATGTTACGTAATAGTCACAATGTGAAAATATTCAATTTTAATCCGAATTATTTACAAGTGCTTCTTTTTTTGTAAACTATATAATACGCAATTTAAATTCTTGAATGTATTTTACATATACTTATATATATTTTATCAATTTTAAATTATAATAATATATAAATTGTTTGTTATAATTTTTAAATTCTATTTTTATATATATATTATTTATATTTCAATGAGCGTTTAAAAAAATATATATACATATATTATGAATTGTTAGAATTATTTTGAATTATGAAAATATATAAATATTTTAAAATTATGATAAAAATTTATTTTAAAAAATAAGACGAAGGATAATATCATATGAAATTAAAAATGAAATTAATCATGTATAATATATTTACATATGTATAACATGTGTGCACATATGTACTATGTACATATAATATGTACAATATTACTCAAAAAATTTAATAATCTCAAAAATTAATAAATTTTCAACACTAATTGCAATTTTTTTTTTTTTAATTATTCGATCTGAATGTTATTTATTTCATGAGAAATAAATTTCTTTGTTAAATATTTTTTATTACGACATTATCGTTAAACAAATTAAACGGTTTATTATATATGGAATTTTTTTCGCAAAGCATATATAGATCGTATTGAAAAAATAAAGACGCAAGAATTAGTGATCAAACGAGCAAGCGCATAAACATATCGTATACATACTGTAGGTGCGCGTGCACACAAAGCGACCGAATAGTCAGACAGCCAGGCAAGCAGGCAAGCATGGAAGGCACGATGGAAAAAGCAGAATGACAGTTGGTAATTATAACGAAGAGCGGATTCCGTGGGGTAAGACTGGTGAGCCCCGTGGAGGTAACGAAGTCCGCGCCGCGGCGCGCCACCACGTGCCTAACTAGCTAGCTGGTTTGCTGACTGCGTGCTAGCTCGGTAGCCACGCGTTATAGCATCGTAGATGATGGCGTCTTGTAATACAATTTTCAACATATTACGAATAAAGAGTTTTATATCAAATAAAACGATAATTTTTAATAAAATTATAAATTCAATTTTATATAATACCTTTACAAGTCTAACGATTAATGAATTGATTTACACTCACCAATGCGATGATCCATAATGAAAAATTTGAGGTAGACGTAATGTGCACGCGATGTGGTAACGTCCTCGTGGGCTTGAGGTGATTATTCGATACTTGATGAACTGTTAAATAGAAAGAAAGAAACTAAATACAAAAAAGAATGAATACACTTTATAAATACGATCAGAAGTCGTGTCACATTTATAATATAATAGCCACGCAAGCTAAACGAATAAACTAGGAAAAAAACGTACAAGTTTGACCAGCAATTCGTGGGGACGCGTGCACTAACACGATGAAAAAATTATATGATCGCGCGACACGAGCTAATTCAATTTTTGCCGGTCATCGAGTTAGAATATACGAATGATGAATGACAAACAACACCAAAAGATATGCCATGTCCATACCGTAGGACAGTTAACACGCGGCGTGTTTCACGATTTCTTTCTCTCTCACGTTTTCTTCTTCGACCAACTGATCTGTCGTCCGACAACTCACCGGCGTATCTTTGTGTAGTTTCTCTATGTTTCTTTCGTTCACACCGTCGTTTTTTGATCAAATTACTTCCCGTTATAACTAATTTCTTGTTGTCTGTGACAGATAAACACTACGAATGCGGCGGGTTCTCGTAGCGTGTGCGCCAGCGTCAGTAAGATTGACAGTCGGCGCTGATGACAGACAGGTGCGCCCGCCTTCCGGCCTAACAAGTCGGCAACCTACCGTTCTGCTTACGTATCTTTCTCTGTTCGTTCGCATACCCGTCTACCCGCCATCCCGTCTACCCGCCAAGATCCTTAGCACGTTATGCCATTTATCCTCTCTTTTAACATTTTCCTGCCATCTAGTGACGATTGACCTAAAACATGCATATGCCATCTAATTGTATACATCTTCTTTTTCCACTCATTTCAAATAAATAGTTCATGTATCTATTCATATATTTATTCCAAATAAATAGTAACATTCATTCATCTTATATTTATTTCAATTTTTCTATTATATTCGAAACTGTTTACAAAATTTCATCTTTTATAATATAATTTTTCTTTTTGAATAACTTTATCGTAATCATTTTGAGTTTTCTTATTTTTATATATATATATATATACATGTATATACACATGTATTAAAACACGTTTTCATCTTCATTTGTCAAATATATATGTATAGTCATAATTATCATGTCATTGGTATTAATTTTTAAAATAATAATAAAATAATTTTTAAAATAAATTATGATATGAAGATTACATTATTTCATGATTATTATTAAAATTATAGGTAAATTTATATATACTAAATTCAATTTATGAATTGATTTACATTTCATAAAATAATTTAATTAACAGATTGATTAAATAAAATAAATAAATGCAAAAGAAAATATATAGTATATTTATTATAAAATAGTATATTTATTATAAAATAATAAGAATATAGGAATATAGGAATCACAGAAAGAATAAAAAAATTAACCAATACTTTTTAATTCATCATCATTGACATTATTTTTTAATTATGTGATTTATTATGAACAATATTTTACTTATTTTATTAATGTGTATATATATATGTGTGTGTGTGTGTGTGTATATATATATATACTAATTATACTATATATATATATATATATATATATATATTAATTATATGAATTCTAAAAGAAAGGAATAAATGGAGCTTTCTCATATTTTCTTTCTCCAGCATTTATCTGACGCTGAAATTCTCCGTTTATTATTTCTTGTCTGTGCATTCGTTTCTCTTTATATAAACATTCATCAAGATCAAGAATTAGCGCCTTACATTTCTCTTGTCCTTTATAAAATCCATATGCTTCCACACATTCAGCTAAGCGCAATTCAAAATTTTTACAAGTTGAATAATATTGACTATGAATTGAAATTCCAAAGATTTTGGTGAGTGGAGTTTTAAATATAGGTTCCATGAAATTACGATATTTTGGTATTTCATTATCCATAATTCTAAAATTATATAAAGAATTGAGAATAATATTATTGAGTTTATAATGCTTACACTATATTGTAATATCTATTATTATGATACATTATATATACATTATGATACATAATATAACCTTCTTGAATAGTTTTTTCCATCTTATTTATTTTTATATTGAAAATATGTATATACTGTAAATAAAATATACTATATAATAAGTTACCTAAGAAAATACTTAATGCGTATATAATAAATCAATTCTATTTAAAAGAATAATTACACTTCGAAATAAGCCGAAGGCTACTTTCTAAAACTTTCTGTTATGTAACAATATCCTATATCGATAATTTCGCTATCATCGCCATCTACGTATATATAATAAACGTATGAAACAAGTATCGAGAATTACCATAATTATAATAATAAATAATTAAAATAATATATCATTTAGTAAAAATTGATATGATTAATTATGATTTTGCAAAAAATTAAGAAATAACATTATGTTTTATTTATATTACAAAATATTTGGAATTCAATTTAAAAAAGTATATCATATTTAATTATATTCTTTTATTAAAAAGAGAATAAACTATTTTTTGCCAATAATGAATATTATTCTTATTCGTTATAATAAAAAATCTGTTATCTCTTTTTTTAAATTCGCAATTTGTAATTCCTTTTGAATTGCATCGAATATGAAATTAGGTAAAATATTATCAATTTCTTTTACATTTAAAAAAATTAGACGGCAACTATAACATAAATATTTTTCAATCATTGATCGTCTTAAAAACGAATTACAAATATCAGTTTTACATTCACATTTTTTACTTGTAAGAGCATTTATACATTCAGATTGTTCATTACTCGATTGTGCACAAATATTTGACGAATTCATAGTTGTATCTAATGAAATGTCTGTAACTGTAGAAACTAATTTAGAAAATAATTTTGCTTGTACAACTGATAGCTCTTCTTTAGACAAATAATTTGAATCTCTAAAATTTAATTCACATAGTATACAAATATTATTAACATCAATTTTATTAGTAACAATCTTTGTATCATTATTCATATTATTAAATGGTTCCACATTTGTAGCTAATTTTTCACTAGTACGATATATTGTAGATACAGTACTATAAAATTCAGAATCTAGTTTATAAATAAAGTTTTTTGCAATATTCCGTATAGACGCAGGGAAATATAGATCACATTTTTGAGGATTAAGAATTGGATGTAATTCGCAACATTCCATATATGCAATTATATCATTTTTTGTAAAATCTCTGAGCGGTCTAAGTAATTTCACATCACTGTATCTTTCATCAGAAAAAGCAACATTAAAAGACAATTGGGAACCTCTGCCAGTTGATACATCTCCAAGGACTTTTATCGCCAGATCAATAGATGTATCAGCAATGAAAACTTTATTACAGTTAAGTTTACGAGCTGCAGATACAAGTAATTTACGTCTTAATTGTTGCAATAATTCATCTCTTGCCGTATCATTTTCTAAATTATTAAAAATTTCTTCTAACATTGTATCTTCTTTAGTAGTATTCATTAATGGAACATTTATTGATTGTAACTCTTTATAAGTAATATCAATTGTACATTTTGACAACGATGAAATGTACATAGTTAATTGCAAATTTTCAGCTTCTTTAGCTAATGCATTTCGAATAGATTCTCTTTCTTCGATCGAACGTTTTTTTATTACACCATCTATATAAATAAAAAATAAAAAATATTATATTAAATTGTATTAAACATGTGTCTAATAATTTTTTTTCTTTAATTTAACAAGAGAAATGATAGAAATATTTACCATCTATATAAAGAACTTTAAATGGAAATTTAAGCTTTTTGGAAATTGATTTATTAATATCAGCTGTAATAAGATGTAAAAGTACAGTTGAATTTGCTTTCCCTGAATGAGCGATAAGTACAGTATCGTTTGCACGCACTGATTTGGATTTGCCGAGAGTTGCTCTAAACTTGTGTATCAATATAGTTAAAAAGCACATTTTACAATACTGATTTTTATTTTTTAAAAAAACTTGCACTTTTTGACAGCCACATTTTTTGCAGAAAGGTATAGTATTATGTATATCCATAGTATCAATAAAAGAAGAAGTGATTCTATAAAAAAATTTAAGAATTGCATAAACGAAAAATTATAAAATAAATAAACATTATTTGTTATCTCCTAAAATTATAGAGAAATTGTAATATAATACACTTACATATTTTCAGTTACATTTTCTATCTCAAAAGTATCAAAACTACATTTAGACGTATTTTTCGTACACATTTTACTTGCTTTTGTATAATGTTGCTTTATCTATAATACGAATAATCACTCAATCACTAACCATACATAATTCTAACCATCATGTTTTTGAGCAAATTATATAAATTTCAATTATTTATAAATAATAAATTTTTTTTAAAGTAACAATAAAAATATATAAATATTTATATATTAATAAAGACAATTTAGAAAAATTTCAAAAAAATCATACATTCATAAAAATTATTTATACGATAATTATTTCGATTTATTATTTCATTGGTACGCTTGAACAGAGTTACCATCATCGTTGACACAGATTATTAATCGGTATTTATTATATTAATTATTCATAAATATAATTGTTTGTTTATCAATTATCTAATTTATTGTATTTTTGTAAATATTATAGGTATCATTTCTTTTAATTTATATCAAAAAACAAAAGGTTTTTAAGAGGTTATGTATGTGAATTTAAAAAAATAAAAATAGTATAATAATAAAGTATTAATTAATTAATAATATAATAAAGTAATTAAAAAAACTTAAACAATTACAGTGAATAATAAAAATGTTTGGAAATCTAGCAAATATTATTTTTAGGTATTCATTCATTAAATAATTAACATTTGATATCTTGATAATTTGTATTTATATCATTTACAATTACAGTTACTTATTGATGCAGGTCTTCATTATGTTCAATTAAAAATTCATGCAATATCTCCACATACACATATCCTTTATATTTTCGAGCAACAGAGATACTTTTGTAAGTATCATATTAATCATATTAAAATTCTATTTTTTGAAAAAGTTTTAATTATTATAATTATTATTATTATATTTGTTTGTTTTAGAGGAGAACCCTTAAAAAAGAAAAAAAAACTTGATCCTGCAGTAATTAAAGCTAAAGAAGAAAGAAAGAAAAGGAAGCTACAAAAAAGAATTCGCATGTTAGAAAAACATACAAATCATATGAAACCAATTTTTGAAATCGATACATTGGCCGAACAATTGCAAAATGAGTATGTCCAGCGTAATATAGAATATATATCATATATGTGATCATATATAGAAAGATTTATGCAATAATACATTATACATATATATGAAAGTATTTACATAAGAATAAATATTTCTTAGCAAAAGACCTTGTCATTTGACATCATTATCAGAGGAAGAAATAGAAAGGAGAAGATTATTAGAAAGAGAATGGATTAAATATAAGCAAGATCAATGGTTAAAAGATTTACATGTTATAAAATCTATGCTGACCTCACAGAAAACAGCGTTGGAAGAATTAAAAGCTGTCTCAAAACAGCTTTATAAAAAAGCAGTCGAAGTAAATATTTATATTCTATTATTTAATAAGAAAAATTTACTAATTAAATGATGTATTGATATATATATGTATATATATATTTGTATAAATAAATGTTTCAAATCACATTTTTTTTCAGTTTGATGATTTATATTTACCGTACGATGTAATTGGACCAGTACATACTCCACCAATAAAAAATTACGATAGTCCCGATGGTGAATATATAGAAACTACCATTAAATATGTAGGAGAATAAGTATGTACAAAGCAATGGAACGGATCAATAAAAGAATTAATTTAAATAAAGGATCATAGGAGTGAAAAAAAGAGTAAGACTCTCGTTAAAACTTCTATAATTAAATATAATTCTCATTAATTATCAATTTTTTGATCATTATCAATCTACAAGTTTATGAATTAAAATTGTGTAAATTTAATAAAAAAAATTTAATTTTTTAATTTAAATAAAATACGAGATGTTATAAATACATTAAATTATTATTTTACGTTACAATTATACAACGAGAATATTTTACATTAATCGACGTATCGATATTTATAAATAAATGTAATAATTTATTATTAATTTAATTATTTTTTATTAATATATTGTATATGAATATTTATCGGTTAAAAAAGTATTTCCGTAAAAATAGATATACTTCGATTAATTTATTCTCACATTTATGCGTCAGTTATCTCTTTTTAATAATCTCTTTTTAAAAAATATCTATTAAAATATCTGATTTTGTCTTTAATATAGAATAAATAATGATAAGACAATTATTAGGAAATTTATTTTTAAGGGATATGTTTATTTAAACGTAGCATAAGACTAAAATAAATTTTATGAAAATTTTAATTCTCTTTTACATACGGGACAAATATTACCAGTCTTGAGACACTGACGTAAACAATCTGCATGAAAAAGATGACAACAAGGTGTTATTCTCGCCTTGAACATATCGCAAAGACAAACGGCGCAAACATCATCAAATTGTTTAATTTCTTCAAGTGTTGCCTTTCTATAACGATTCAATATTTCGCATTCAAGTTTTAACGCAGGTCCCGAAATTCGTAAAAGATCTTTTAATCTTAAATAGATATTCAAATAGATAGCTATAAATAAAAATTTCCAGGATGCTATTCGTACGAGTAAGATTAAAATAAGAAAAGTCGATGCGCTAATAGTAAATAATTTTAATATTACCGGAGCATAAAGCTCTTCAAGATTTTCAAATATCTCCAAATGAAGAAACTTCAAAATCGATGGAAACATCTCAGCAAAGATTTTCTCCGTTGTCAAATAATAAATCCATGTTATCATCGTGTAAGTTGTTGATGGTCTATAACAGCAATATATATCGTG